CACATAGTAACATTTCTCCATGACAAAAGGAGTTTTTTGACAAATTGACCCTATTATTGTGCAAAATATATTAAACTCTACTCTACTACTTTCTCCTCAACAGTTAACAGTACACTTTTTGGCAAAGGTACGATTAATCTAATTATTGGGCTAATTATATTAAAGTCTACTGTGCCACTTCAAGTGGAAGATAGATTTGACCGTTACATATATAAAAAAAGATGATAATCAAATTTGATATCTTTCAACAGCTAAAAAATTGATTGACAAGAAATATAACCTTAATAAAAAATAAGACTTCAACTAAAATACTGACGTCAAGTTCATGTTTTGTTTGATTAGAAATGAGCTATTTATATATTTTCAGGCTTTAACATTTGAACTACCGAGGCAATCATTTAACAGCTTTCAAAATGTGCATAACTTGGTTTTAAAAACACCATGTGCCGACAGAATCCTGACATTTCATAAATGTATGTATATCTTATTCTAACTTTTATCATTCAAATGTCAAAATACTAAAGAGATCTCAGCTTTACAACCTGAATAAACGTAGCAGTCAAAATGAGGGCATGCTCTTTGCAGGTGCTTCACTTTTCGCTACATTTTCCCGCTTTTTCTCCTGCTCTGCTTGATTAATGCATATTTTTGTAATGGAGGCCCTGTGCTAGTTTAATGTGATCCCATGAACTTATTTTTTCTTTCAGATATTGCAGGGGGCCTCCAGATAATTTACAAAACAGATCGATGATTTTCTGATAGCTGACAGCTTTTTGGTCTATCAAACCACCTCTTCAATCTTCAGGATTCATGGGCAGTAAAAGCAGATCCCATTCAAAACCTTAATCAAACATAAAATTCCAAATAAAATACTGAAGTCAAGCACATGTGTGTTGTTTGATTAGAAATGAGTGTTACAGGACCTGGGAGCCTGGAGGCTCCATGAGAGAGAAGGATTTCCATTTGTGTGTGAGTTTTGAGTGTGCTCACCTTTTCAGAATGCAGATTCCCTGACTTCTTTTCTCATGCAAATGTGAGGGAAAATGCAGGATTAGTGCATGCTGCTGTGCACGTCCACTCAGCATTAGGAAGTCTCCCAGCTGTGTGGAAGAAACAACTCTTTCTGGTTATTTATTTCCATTAAATTTGGCGATGCGTCCTGATTATGATGCCGTGTCTATCGGTGTGTATCAGGCTTTAAGAGGCAGGTCAGTGCTGGTCATCCTGCATCACAGTCCGGCCTATCTGGAGTCGGATGATAGGCCCACTGAACAATCCTCACAGACCAAACCCTCTGCAGTCCTTACTGTGAGAGCATAATTACAACAGGTGTGGACTAAACATTCAAGCGTGGAAAATACAGGTGAATATCCAGGCCTCTTTGGGAAACACCGATGGGGCATCAATGATGTAAAGCCACAAATAATTGAGGAGATCAAGGAAGAAGAATCCTTATTTATTCACATGTTTTTAAGAAATGTACACCTGAAGATAATCCCATACTCAGGAAACATCACAAAAGTAATGAAGGAATGACTGAATATGAGAATGATATTAGATTAATCAGTGACGTTCTCCAGGGATGTAAAGACGACTGTGAAAATCAAATATCTATAAATGAGGAATGTTACAGACAAAAGGTATCCTTGATGAGTCTGATTAATCTGGACATGGATGATTGTGCCTCTAAACAATCCTCACAGACCAAACCCTCTGAAACAGAACATCTACTTGGAACTCCACCAAGCTACCAAGACTTGATGGAGTCATCTCCCCTAAAAGGCTTGGCACCAGTCTGTGGAAAGATTCAACACATTGAGGGTCAAGATGTGAATCTCCCCTTATCACAAATCTCAGGGGGAAAAGGAGAAGAAGATGAAAGTCTAAGAAGACACCTAATAAAATAGATGTACCACCCATCGCAACTGGGGGGCAGCAAAAGGAGACAAATTATTGAACGTATGAGCAAGGAAAAAAGACTGAGTGAAGTATGAACATAGTTGTTCATACTTAGAGAAAAACAAGCAGGAAGTTAAATAAAAATATTTTTCAGATTTGGGGAAATCTGGGGGACACCCATGATTAATGTAACAGAGAAAAACACTGAGAACACAGACATTGAGAGCAGAAAAATGTACCCACTCAGTCCCAGAGCAGCAGGAATCCTGTGCATTAATATAACTTAGCCAGGAAAACAAACAAAAAAACAAGATCCATTTGGATTTTAGCAAGCAAGCAAATAAAAAAACAGCACTAAATAAAAAGTTTGAGATGATTCTGCCTCCTGTTCTAAGCCCCGCCCAATCACAGCGTCCTCCATCCAACAGCAGCCTTAGAAGTACACCACTGTACTATACCCTACTACACTATTCCATATTATACTACACCATACTACACTATACCATACTATACTACACCATATTATACAATAC